ACTTCTTCTACAGTACTGAAAATAATTTATCTATGATGTTAGATATCACCAGTAAACACTAAGACAAATCACAACACGATTGTGACTTGACATGGGTCCACGACTGACCGAAACGTCGTCATAAGGTTCCTAACTGCAGGTTATTGGATGGAATGTCCTAGTAAAGGCAACTTACAACAGTCCAATAGATATTTGTCCAATAGATATTTGACAACGTGGTAATAAACTATGTATAATAAAAGGGATTTCCAACGAACCTTCAATTCGGAAAGAAGAAATTTTGAAAAAAAAAAAATGGTTCATCGTAAACTTTATAAATGTTACGGAATAGTTGTGAACTGTTTCGTTAAGCAAATTAAACAGAAAATTATTTACAATTCATATGAATTCCATCTTAGATTGAAATAATTCTTTCTGAATATTTATATAAGAAAATAAATATAAGCTTGATCTATCTGTAAAAAAAAAAAGCATAAGAAATAATAATGGTAAAGAATTATTAAACGTGAATGTCACTGAAGTGTATTTAGAAGCCTAAGTAGATTTACTGTACTAATAATATATAGCTACAATAAGTGCAATTACGGAGAGCCTCGGAAATGTAAACAGACTGACGGATGGTGTTTAGGCTAGGCTAGGCTCTGGCTTCGTCAGTTACTAATGTTTCTGGCATATACATAGATGATCAAACAACAGTAGTGGATGCAGCGACCCTCATAATCACTTTCTCTTTGTGCTTGATTCTCCACTTAATGAGGAATATAAAAGAGATAAAACCCACATGACATGTCAATCTATGACATTAAGGAATGTAAAGCATCCATACAATGGGTAAGAAGTGTACAATAAACTAGCTGCTATTCTACGGGAAGAATATGAAGTGTATAAAGTAGCCGTTACTATTCACAGAATGAATATGGGTACTTCTCAATGACCTAGTCACTGTCGTCTTACTCTGTACTGTACCATCCACGATACTGTAACTGCAAGTCTCCGTAAAACATTTCTTCACTGGTTTCCTGTATTTTCCTTTGTGATTAACTTCAGCATATCCTTTCACCGTTTCCATAAACACAGCTGCTGATAAGCGCCAACACCTGTCAACACTCAGGCTTCTGCTGTACAATCGTAATCTCAGTTATCTAAACACAATTAGAGGTGCAACTTCTTGGGATCTTAATACTTAGGAATTTTTCACTTGCCTAATTCTTGGGCACGACCTACTTCCACATTGAACAAATGTGACACCACCTATGACTGCTGCACCTCTCCTGCCATACAGTTTATAAGCTGCTTCTCCGCTCATATGCCGTATTCTATTCAAGATTGATGGACTGAACACATCGACTCAAGGTTGAGGGACTGATTACCTCATTCTCCTCCTGTTCTTCAAGTTTCTCCTGCGTATCGACTGATGAAGCCACTGTGTGGCGAAACGTTTCCTCAATCAAGATACCCAAGATTTGCACACGTGTCTAATCTATCAACAATTAGAGGTACTTGGTATATAACTTGGCTCTCTCATTAGATAACCCGGATGTGGACTTCAGTGTTCCTCGTTATCTTTCACAAATTATTTCCTGTCAAGTCTATTTTTTTCCCTCTTGAATTATTGCTCATGGAAAATTTCTTTAAAATTCTGACTATTTTTCACGAAACACTTGTGGAGTTTTTTTATTTTTTAACAATGGCTCTCAATACACTTGTGGAAAGCTTTTAAAACAGTGGATCACCAAATGCCTCCAGATAATTTTTGCAATGGGTCACTCATGGATCAACTCCCTGCCTCTCCGTGGAAAACTTTTTAATATACGTATTTATGTAAATTCTTAGGTAAATTAAGCTATATTATTTTATGTTAATTTCGATAAGGTCAAATTGGGTAGCTCAGTTAATTTTGTAGAAAAAAAATAGATCCCAAGGTTATTTATAAACATTTATTTTGAATGGGGGGTTGAGAGCCCCCCATTTTTTCTGGACGACTGTCGTGCTGCTATATAAAAATTAACGATTGTTTTTTAGGGTATTGAACCTCATGGGAGAACATGGTTCTCATAATATTCATGATACGCAACTATACAACACTTTGGTTCATATTCAGCCTCGTACTGACCACGTATTTGCTCCCCGGTGTATTTGGATGAGGGAATTCAAAATCACCAAAGATTTTTATTTTAGTTACCCAGACTCGATCTCACAAGAGACACGCGGCGGAAAATATTAGTCTGCAAGGATTAAAATATTGACAAAATATTGACGCACACGCATGCACACACGCACGCGCATACGCACACGCACACGCATACACACACACCACACGTGCACACCAGGATGATGCAGACATGATCCACTAAATTATAACATCTCCAACCCAACGGGAGCACAGGCACTGTACTGCTACCTTTCAAAAGCCATGCTCGGCTAATTGGTTCCCCTGAGTCCATTCAGAGATGATGATAAGCTTACGATAAAAATGTGTATTGCAAAACAAGCTTTTATTGATACAATGTTTCGCTCTACGCAGAGAAACTCTGTCGCAGTAAAATCTTGTTCTGTAAAGTAAGCCAAACTGTTCACACTTCAGCATCTGGTTACATCATTCTGTCATGCTAACTTACGTCTGCAGGATGTTGTATCCTCTGCCTCGCAAAACATCCTTCACACCCTCCTTCCAGTTCATCATACATCTTCTGTTCCTCTTTCCATTCGCTCTAGTTGTGCTTCATTCTTTCTACTTACCAAACATGTCTATAAACCCTATTCAACTCTTTGAATGATCAGTTTCATTCCGCCACACCGTTTTCTTGTTTCTCCCTTATTGCCATCATACATTCACATCACATAGATCTCAGACACAACATTTTTAATCCTTTTTAATATATACTAACGGCTTTTCCTCCTCTTCCTGATTCCTGCCACACCTGTCGTTGGGTCTCCATTTTACTCCCTTAGCAGGGAGGCTTTGTTCTCCCTCTCCCATCTGTGTCTTTTATACCCCTGTCTTCTCCCAGGCACAAGATTCTAGGCTAATTTATTCGATGGATAAAACTCCATGCAATACGTCCCGTCATCCAGCTCAATACGGAGGATCTTGGGGGGCGAGGCGCCTATCCTTTGTATAATAGTTATGAAGGAAGTTGACCGGTAACCCAGTGGAAGGTCTCAGTCAGACGACCCAAAGCTCCAGTTGCAGGTCATCATTTGACTAACACCCTTGTCAAGAAACTCTTATCTTGTTTCCTGACACACCTAACCTGTATCTTAACCTCATAGATTACCTGTACCTCTTCATTGGGTGGGGGGCCGGGATACCTGAAGTGTACCTGGAGTCGCTTCTGGAGGTCATCGCCCCCTGATACTGGTGAAGGTCTTTTGTTGCAAGAAACTGGAGCTATCCCCCCTTTCTCATTCCCTAGGCGATGTAACAAGCACTTCGTCGTGAATTTGATAAGAATCATCACCAAATAAGACTCTTAATTCCAATAACAGGAGCCACACTCACCTTGAATCAAACTTGATTACTTCCCATTTTCCATGCCATTTAAAACCCTTTCGGAAATAACTCGTCAAAATATAATAGTAATTATGACCCGGACATCCGTGTCAACATTGACACACACATACCTTAGCTCGGGCCGCTGTCCGTGTGGACGGACGGAGTATGTTCTGAACGCCGTTGTTGTTCTCACATTTACTGGGGTAAGACGTCCTGGACGCCGCTGTTCCCACACATGTAGGTGTAAAATGTCGTGGACGCAACTGTTCATACATATACAACGGTAGGGTTCATACAACCCTCGGGCCGTCGTAAGACTTTAACCCAGCAGCAACATATCCTCCATGTAGCAACATTGTCACAGTGCTTCATACACGCAAGAAAGTTTTCGCACCAAACTTTGAAACATTCCTAGTTTTTCCATTCAATGACAAACTTTTATTTTCCCAAATTCCTGTATCTGATGCCCTCTGAAGAGGGCATTCGATTACAGGCTGAAATCTTTAATATTTCGATTTAATTTTCTATTGTAATAAGCCGCGGGTTCGATTTCAGTCTAGTTACACATATATATGTCGTGTCAAATAGGTAAAACTTTCGATTTTAGCTTAAATAAGAACGCTATTCTTGCCGTATAAGGCAAACGAAAATTTGTGTATGCAATAATTTCGCATAAATCATTTTGAGCCTAACGAAGAAAAATTATTTCATTGTGGTTGTTTATCATTAAATTATTGTAAATTTATCTAAAATATATTTTGTTGGATTAGGCTAAATTAAATTGTGCATATTATAATAAGGTTAGGTAAGTTTTCTAAGGTTCTTTTGGTACAAAATTAATATTTTTTACATCAACATAAATGAAAAAATATATCTAAACGTTTAAGAGAAAATTTTAGAAAGGACTTAATTTTGAATGAGTTCTTGCTTATTGGCCGGTTTTAACTATTCGGAAAGCGCGCGCGCGCGCGCGCACACACACACACACACACACACACACACACACACACACACACACACACACACACACACACACACACACACACACAACACACACACACACACACACACACACACACATAATATAAAATATAATATAATATAGATATATATATATATATATATATATATATATATATATATATATATATATATATATATATATATATATATATACTATATATAATGCGTGTGTGTAGTGCCTAATAAGCCGAACTTTTCAGACTGGCCGAACTCCCTATGAAATTTAACTTTTCCAGATTGATAGTTGTATATTTTTCATCGACAATAATGTAAACAAAATATTTTTTGACTGAACCTAACTTAGCAACCTCACTTAACCTAACTTGGAAGCCTCACTTAACCTAACTTAGAAGCCTCACTTAACCTAACTTAGAAGCCTCACTTAACCTAACTTGGAAGCCTCACTTAACCTAACTTAGAAGCCTCACTTAACCTAACTTAGAAGCCTCACTTAACCTAACTTAGAAGCCTCACTTAACCTAACTTAGAAGCCTCACTTAACCTAACTTAGAAGCCTCACTTAACCTAACTTACTGTGTACTATTTTAACCTTTTTTTTTCTTAACATATCATAAATCAGTTTATATTTATTTAATGTTTTCTAAAATCAATGACAAATATCTTTTCGTTATGTTGAAATTCATTTTCGAAGATTTATGCATAAATTTTGCACACAGCTTACTCTGCAGGAAAGACACTTGCCTTTTAGGCCTAACTCGCCGGTTTTGCTTATACGGCACGACATATATATATATATATATATATATATATTATATATATATATATATATATATATATATATATATATATATATATATATGTCGTGCCGAATATGCAAAACTGGTCAATTAGCAAGAACTCATTTAAAATTAAGTCCTTTCTAAAATTTTCTCTTATACATTTAAAGATATATTTTTTCATTAGTGACAATGTAAAAATTTATAATTTTGCACCAAAAGAATCTTAGAAAACTTACCTAATCTTATTATAACAAGAACAATTTATTTTAGCCTAACCCAACTAAATATATTTTAGATTTGTTTACAATAATTTAATACTAAACAAACACAGTGAAATATATTTTTTTCGTTAGGTTCAGAATAATTTTGGCGAAATTATTGCATACACAAATTTTCGCTTGTCCTATGTGGCAAGATGAGCGTTGCTATTTAAGCCAAGATCGCAATTTCTGCCTATTCGGCACGACATATATATATATATATATATATATATATATATATAATATATATAATATATATATATATATATTAATATAATGTGTGTGTGTGCTTGTATTGCCTAATAAGTCATCAGTCTAAGAAGCCTAATTAATGCATTTAAAAATGTCGAAAATGCCTTTCTATAAAAAATGTATTAATCGATGTACTTAGACTTTAGGCCATTTTATTTTCATTAGAACCAGTTTAGTGACAAAGGTAGAATTCCCGACAATATGTTCGGTAAAAGAACATTTCGCTCTCCAGGAGAGCGAAGTGTTGCCACACTAAAATGTCACCTTGAACTAAATCAGCTGTCATAACTAGAATTGTTGGTTTTGTGGGAATATAGCCCCTCAAGGGAGGTTCCCTGACGCTGGCGAGGGGCTCTTGATCTAGGGAATTGGATCTGTGCTCCGGTTCCCTGAATTGAGCCTGAATACCTTCCATTTCCCCCCCCCACATGCGCTGTATAATCATACGGGTCTAGCGCTCTCCCATGATTATAAATATATATATATAATTGAGGGAACATTACTTAATACTTTTCGATTTTTTTTTAAAGTATTTAGGCTTGTTTGCTAATGACTTAATTAGGCACATTGGATACACATTAGGAAACACATTTAGCCTCAAGCTAAATGTATTTCCTAATGTGTATCCAGTGGACTAATTTCGGGATGTTCAGAAATATTTTCGCGTATTGACTATGACAGTAAGTAAATTTACATTCGAGTTAGGCAAAATGAGGTTTCCTTAATAAGCCAAGTATACAAGTTGCCACGAAAAAGAAGTACGATATATAACTAGCACACACACAAACACACATATACTTTATGTATGTGTATATATGTGTGTGTGTATATATATTATATATATATATATATATATATATATATATATATGTTGATTTTACTAACGTTACTCAGCCTCATTGTTCTCTGTTATGCGATTTGTTCAGCTTCTGCATAAAATGAAAACCGAAAATTCCGTATCACTTCCGCGGGTAAGCTGTGACATGCCTCAAGAATCTACAATGTGATACCAGTGATTACGATCTTCGTACCCTTTGCAAGACGACTCTCAAGATTTCTGTAAAAATGTCTTAACTCTAATGTTACTTACCTCCTCTGCAAGGTCCTTTAAAGGCAAGTAAGGAGCTTTAGGCTCTCCTATTACTGGTTCTGGTGCCAGTTTCTCGAGCATCTTGAGGGCGTGGTCTAGGGCTGGCCAGTCTCCCTTAGCGCTCAGTAGCATTACCCTCGACCTCTGCTTCTGGATAGCTTGTTCCCTGTCCGGCTCTTGTGTCAAATCGCCGCCTTCTTGGCCGTCTTCCTGCTGCTTTGATTTTTCCTGCTCGCTGCTGTCGATACTGCTTCGCCGACCACTTCCCTGAGTACCTTTTCCAGTGTTTGCATTACCTCCGCGTTCATTTTCCAGGCTGCTGCGTCGGCCTCCCATGCTGCCTTGCCGCTTCCTTCCCGTGGAAGGCTGAGTCAGGGGAAGACCTCCTACGGTGGCTTGGTCTTGGGCATCGCCAGGGGCATTGCGGCCGAGGGTATTAGAAGCGGGCATCTGTCCTCTCCTTCCATCATCTCGACTAGAGGCACCAGGCGCAGCCTCACCCGTGGGGCGACCCAGCTGGGAGCCATATTTCATGGTCTTGGAGTCGAAAACCTGCGTGCCGTAGGGTTTTGATCTATCACCTCGCTCCCGGTCCGGCTGGCCCGGGTCCGGGGGACCAGACGAACGTTTGTTTGACATGGTTTCACCTCCCTGCCCACTATTCTAAAACGTTCACTCTCATGACTACCGACACTTGTTCACTAAGGTAGCGAGTGTAGCAGGAGTGGCGTCTTAGGCCACGCTACCTGTGCTAGTTGACCTCAGGGCCAGGTGTGGCTCCCACGCGATCACACGATCAACTGATGACGAGGAACTTGGCGCACACGGCACTGGCGACCTCTGGCCCCCTTGCTCCAGCAACCTCTACCCCCCCCCCCCCCACCTTAACTCCTCACCTGATTCCTTAAAATCCTCACCTCCACCCCCCTCACCCTTCCTTTCCACCCCTAAACCTGCCCCATCTCATTTCAGTCAACCCCTCACCCTGCCTGGTGTCGTCTATGTTCTATATAATCATAAATATTAAGTACCTGCTGATTGCATTAAAATGGGAGCTTAAGATGAAGTTTGTTAAGGTGGTGAGAGTACTGCTGGGGACTGATCACCTTATAGTTGAAGCACCTAAATCAAGAACGAAGAAGAGTACTGCTGGTGGGATGTGCACTGGGGGAGGTTCTTGTGGGGTACTGCTGGAGGGATGCACACTGGGGGCGGCTCTTGTGTGAGTTCCTGCTGGTGAGTTGTGCACCTGCTAATATTCATCATAATCCTTTCCCTTACCAAACATACACAGCTGTGACCTGGGCCTGACTAGGATGTGTCAGTGGCTTAAGCCGGTAGGTGACTTGGACGTGCCTCGCATGGGCCAGTAAGCCTGCTGTAGTGTTCCTTCTTTCTCATGTTCACCTAGCAGTAAATAGGTACCTGGGTACTCGTACCGTCATCACAATACAGTGGCGTTAAAAGTAAATTCTTATAAGCGGATGACAGAGCCCTCTTAGCATCAGGTAAAGAGACAATTGTCATTGGAACTTGAATCTTGCAGCATATGGTTAAAAGATAAACTTCCGTTGCACTTAGGAAATATCCAGGAAGTTCACCGAAATATCCAGGAAGTTCACCGAAATATCCAGGAAGTTCACCGAAATATCCAGGAAGTTCACCGAAATATCCAGGAAGATCCTTTGATCTATGCATATCAGTTAAATTAGCAGTGAACAGTATGGTAAACAAAAAATACGATAACAGGTTAATGTTCCTTAACAAACAGGCACAGTGCCTACTTGCTCAGGCACTAAGACCCTAAAATGGTGAAATTTACCCAGGACCTGAGGCTAAGAGAGCGTGTAAGCCAACTTGAATTACAACAACTGGGAACGCTTAAGATAGCAGATAGAGTAAATCAGTAGAAACGCGTATTTTTTCAAAATTTACTAACAACCAGTATCCAGAAAATCTTGCTGGATAATTTATAGAGATACACGAATAACCCGCACATAAAGAGAGGCGCCTACGACGACGTTTCGGTCCGACTTGGACCATTTATGAAGTCACGTCGTCGTAAGCTCCTCTCTTCTATGTGCGGTTATTTGTGTATCGTTCCAGTCACGGTATTGTGCCTTCTTTTGTTAATTTATAGAGGTTAGGAACCAAAGCCAGTATAGCACCAGGGGAAGTGAACACAGTACAGTGGTACCCACAGTAGGTACTCAGGCTTCAGATACCTATTACACAGTTTTAAGCTGTTGCTGGCCTTTGTGATTATCTCAAGGCAAACCTTAATAAAAGCAATCTTAGAAGAGCGCCAGAGAATATCTAACGAAGCTGCGGAAAAGGATAGTGATTTCTTGGATGATTAAAATATTCGCAACTGGATTATAAGTAAATTTTTATTCAGGTACACATAAATACAGTTACATAAATTATCATACATAGCATCATATGTAAAACAGCCACGGGGGGAGTAGAAATATTTTAGCTATCTTTTAACTCCCCCCCCCCCGGGGTTTTAACTCCACCCGGGGTTGTTTCAACTCTTCCCCTGGGGTTGTTTCAACTCCCCCGGGTTGCTTCAACTCTCCCACGGGCTTGTTTCAACTCCCCCGGGGGTTGTTTCAACTCCCCCGGGGTTGTTTCAACTCCCCCCGGGGGTTGTTTAAACTCCCCCGGGGTTGTTTCAACTCCCTCCGGGGTTTAAACTCCCCCGGGTTGTTGCAACTCTCCCCCGGGGTTGTTTCAACTCTCCCCGGGGTTGTTTCAACTCCCCCCGGGGGTTTCAACTTCCCTCCGGGGTTGTTTCAACTCTCTCCCCCCCCGGGGTTGTTTCAACTTCTCCCCGGGGTTGTTTTAACTCCCCTCGGGATTGTTTTAACTCCCCTCGGGGTTTTAATTCCCCCGGGGGTTGTTTTAATTCCCCCGGGGGTTGTTTTAATTCCCCCGGGGGTTGTTTTAACACCCCCCGGGGTTGTTTTTCATATTGCATCGCTTATTCGCCATATTTTGCATATATCAGCATATGTGTAGAGTACCCGGTGGCCTGGTGGCTAAAGCTCCCGCTTCACACACGGAGTTCCTGGGTTCGATTCCCGGCGGGTGGAAACATTTCGACACGTTTCCTTACACCTGTTGTCCTGTTCACCTAGCAGCAAATAGGTACCTGGGTGTTAGTCGACTGGTGTGGGTCGCAAACTGGAAGACAAGATTAAGGACCCCAATGGAAATAAGTTAGACAGTCCTCGATGACGCACTGACTTTCTTGGGTTATCCTGGGTGGCTAACCCTCCGGGGTTAAAAATCCGAACGAAATCTTAAATCTTAACCCAAAAGGGTCAGTATTTCAGACATCCCAGTTTATACCGTAAAAAAATGCTAATTGAGATCAACAGAGGCCAAAATTAAACCAGTTTTTTAATTAAGATTTACCAGCTTCAGTTATTATATATACTTTAACATATGTATAAATTATCTATGATAACCCAAAAAAAATAGTCTAAGTGACTTATTTCCTCCGAAGTAAAGTGACACGAGACTTTGACTTTCATTAGTTATTCTAGGTAAAATAAAAAAAAATATATATATATACTGCTATGTATGATAATCTATGTAACTGTATTTGTGTATACCTGAATAAACTTACTTATGTACTGGATATGAGTAAATAAAAAGCAATCAATGAATAATGGGTAAGTTACTCCTGAAAAGTATAAGAAAATATCAGGGCAAGAAAGAAAACCAATGTTTGAATCGTCAGTATAAACTAGTATAGACAGAATATATATGCACTGTGAAGTGTGTATCTCTGTGTATATATTCTGAGAGATAATGAAACCTATTTTAGGGATAATTTTTTCTTGAGTTACCGTGAAAATGTGACATTCAGCCTTAATGGCCTTTGTGGAGTTGATGGAATTTAAACCCATTATTAATAGCCAACAACCCGAATGGTAATACGTCACTTTAGCTTTTTTTTTTTTTTTTTTTTTTTGGGGGGGGGGTTTCCTTGGTAATTTACACACATCATATATAATTTGTATAATTGCAATTTGTCTACCTGTATTAGTGTACCTGTACCTATATAAACTTGCTTAATACTTAATACTTAATACCTGATAAGAGACATAAGAATATCAAAAACAACTAATTCCGATCACAATCTAATCGAAGTCCAGACGTACATGCATAGGGGTCCTGAACAGCAGAATGCATGTACCTGTGAAGGTGTCTTCACAAAATACAATTTCAACAACAAGAACATCAACTGGGACCAGGTAAACCATGTCCTAAACGAAACATGTTGGGAAGATGTCTTAAATGACATGGATCCAAACCAGTGCCTTGAAAGGATCAACTTCCTGGTAGCCGAAGCATGTTCTAGGCATATTCCCCTAAGAAAGAAGAAGAGCAGGAGTAAACTGGAGAGAAAAAGACGCTCCCTCTACAGAAGACGACGAAGAGTCACTGAGCTCCTCAGGAGTGCTAGAATATCTGATACACGAAAGGAGGCGCTGACCAGGGAAGTGGAAACTATCGAACTTAAGCTAAATGACTCTTACAGGAACCAGGAGAGGCAGGAGGAGCTTAAAGCTATTAGTGAAATTGAAAGAAATTCAAAATATTTCTTTTCATATGCCAAAAACAAGGCAAATACCACATCTAGTATCGGGCCCTTACTCAGACAGGATGGGACTTACACAGATGACAACAAGGAAATGAGTGAAATATTGAAATCCCAGTACGACTCTGTGTTTAGTGAACCACTAATCGGTCTGAGGATCGACGACCCAAATGGTTTCTTCATGAATGAGCCTCAAAACTCCATAAATGTATGCCAGATTTCCGACATTACCCTAACTCCGATAGATTTCGAAAAAACCATTGACAACATGCCTATGCACTCAGCCCCGGGCCCAGACTCGTGGAACTCTGTTTTCATTAAGAACTGCAAGAAACCCCTCTCGCGTGCCCTAAGTACACTATGGAGGAGGAGCTTGGACATGGGTGAAATTCCACAGTCACTTAAAACAACGGATATAGCCCCACTCCATAAAGGTGGCAGCAAAGCATTAGCTAAGAACTATAGACCAATAGCTCTGACGTCCCACATCATAGAAATCTTTGAAAGAGTGCTAAGAAGCAGGATTGCAAATCACCTGGATTTCCAAAATCTGCACAATCCAGGGCAACATGAGTTCAGGGCAGGTCGCTCCTGCCTCTCACAACTACTGGATCACTATGACATGGCCTTGGATGCACTGGAAGAAAATCAGAATGCAGATGTAATATACACAGACTTTGCAAAAGCATTTGACAAATGCGATCATGGCGTAATAGCCCATAAAATACGTGCTAAAGGAATAACTGGGAAAGTGGGGAGATGGATCTTCAACTTCCTAACAAATCGAACACAAAGAGTAGTGGTCAACAGAGTTAAATCGGAGGCTGCCATAGTGAAGAGCTCTGTTCCACAAGGCACAGTACTCGCCCCCATCTTATTCCTTATCCTCATATCAGACATAAACAGAGATATACACCACAGCACCGTATCATCCTTTGCGGATGATACTAGGATCTGCATGAGGCTGTCATCTGCTGAGGACGCGGTTAACCTCCAAGAAGATATAAACAAAGTTTTCCAGTGG